TTTAGCTTTTGCCCCACAACAGAAAATCAAAGATCCGGCGCTGGATGAAAGTCCTCCCGGGTGATTAGTGGTAGGGAAAGAATAATGGGGGACCCCTTGAGGGCTGTTTTCCCTCAAAACAGAGGCGAATAGCTACTGAGGTGGGTTTACAGCTGTACAACCTATGGTAAAATTTCGGTGTCTCCATCCACTTATATCTGTACGTATCTTGCTAACTGACATAAATGGACAGATATAATGATATTACACTAAGTGATGCGTACAGTGGTGAAATAGCAGAATATAATACAATTAAAGTAATAAGGTATTTCTCCCACTTTCCTAGCGTGCCTTCGTGGTGTAGTGGTTCTGCATGCTGGGCTGGTATTCCAGAAGTCCGCCTTTCGATTCCCGGTGAAGGCGATTGCTAATTTTTCATCTTGCCTGCTTCTAAAAATAATCCTAATATCTTTACAAGGTAATAGAATACAATGCTAATATATAAAATAATGAAACATATATTCAATAACGTAATTCGTTGACGGGTAAAATTAAAAGAACAACTAGAAAATTCATGTAACTTTAAATAATTTTGATGCTAAACGCATGGAACTTGCATAGATTTTTATTTTGTCATGCCTAACATATCTTCAAGATGCAGAATTGCCTATTTCTGCAAAAGACAAATTTGATTAAATAAAATGTTACAGATAAGCTAGTATTAGAGCTAAGATACATTGCGTATGCGTATGACTGCACAATGTATCTTAGCTCTAAATTTATATGCTCTAAATTAATACGTTGCGTAGTCACTCTTGACCTTGACCGAAATGCAAATTTTCAGTAATTTTCCCTACTCTATATTAGATTTCCTAGGAGCGTTTGCGGTAACATTCACAATTAATAGCATGTTGGAGCTCCTGAAGAGTGCTAGATAAGAATTACAGTAATGCAACTAGGCATTCTATTGTGTCCCACACTTGTTCTATCGAATTTAAATCTAAAGAATATACGGGACTCTCCATCTGCTGGATTCCTTCTGCAGCGCGATGGGGACAAGCAGTATTATCAGCTAATGGGAAGTTATCATCGATTGCGCTGCCCCCCGCCCCAAGCAATTTGATATAAGGATAAAGAACTTTCATCGCAATGTATCTTAGCTCTAAATTTATACACTCTAAATTAATACGTTACGTAGTCACTCTTGACCTTGACCGAAATGCAAATTTTCAGTAATTTTCCCTACTCTATATTAGATTTCCTAGGAGCGTTTGCAGTAACATTCACAATTAATAGCATGTTGGAGCTCTTGAAGAGTGCTAGATAAGAATTGCAGTAATGCAACTCGGCATTCTATTGTGTCCCACACTTGTTCTATTGAATTTAAATCTAAAGAATATACGGGACTCTCCATCTGCTGGATTCCTTCTGCAGCGCGATGGGGACAAGCAGTATAATCAGCTAATAGGAAGTTATCATCGATTGCGCTGCCCCCCACCCCAAGCAATTTGATATAAGGATAAAGAACTTTCATCTCTGAGTATTTTAGCATTCATAATTGTAGTATAAAAAGTAAGTTAGCACAGCTATTCAGAATGATGCCCTTCCTTATCACTTTTGTACTTAATGCCTTTCACGAAGATTTTCAGGCTTATTGCGCGTTTTGCTCCCTACGGACTGTATTACTTCTAGAATCACACTACAAACAAGGACGAGATTTATCTGTAAAGAAAGATATGCTGTAGTCCGTTTCACTCCAATCACATACTGGATACATGTTGCAGATTTTCTTGCATAAAGCCCTCTTTTTATGTTGTCTGTCACTCACTGTATATCTGGATAATCGAGTTATTGTAAAACTGACGCGAATTCGCTGGCAATCTGGCCTGATGTCAGTTGTATATTTCTTTTAGCAGTTCTCAAATAAGCGTCCCGAGATTCTGTTGGACATTTCCGACACTGCCCTGGTTGTCCGCCCACATCACCAGTATCTTTAAATCATTTACAAATTCTTGATATGACTTTTTGTTTAGAGAGATGTGCTAGTATCTGTTCTGCTGCTGTTTACTCAGTCACATTCCATTTCTCACAATCCGTGAATTGCCTTTGAACAATATGTTCCATTCTCCCCACGTGACTCGCTTATCCATATACTCGTATAATCCTTCAAACTAAAATTTGAAGCACCCCATTATAGTCTTTTCGACGTGTGTCGAAAGAACGGGTGCAAAATGTTGCATATTTCTGAGTGGCGAAGGTATATCTTCGTATGCAGAGCACCTATCTAATCCAGCTCATTTGAATACTCGTCGAAAAGTTTTAGTGAAACTGAAGTGGAAAAATTTTCAATAAATTCTGTAGAAATCTTCAAAGCACTCAAACGTGGATTTTTCACATATATTTCTAACTATAAGTCTCTAATCACGTTGAGCCATGTCGAGTCATCTTTGTTGGACAACCTCTTCTTAGTTAATTTTGGATCCGATTTTCTTCTTTAAAGCATTTTATCATATACTGCATCGTAAAATGGGACAAATTTAATAATCCAAATCCAATTTCTAACCTTATGCGAATATTATAAAAAAGGCACATTTTTTCCTTCTGTTAGGACAATTTGAACGAACACTTTTCTATTATAGAGACTTCTTTAGTAAAATCTCAACGTTAAACTGAACTTTTCATTACTAATTTTGAAGATTCTGGATATATCCTACTTAAACGTTCATAACTGGTTAGCAAAATAGTTTATACATGTACTCCGTTGTACTCTTGGTTAATTTTAAATTGTTTTTCATCTATAACACTTGATTTCTAATGAAGTATCGAAATGATTATTAACTATCTGCTTTTTGCAAAGAATTTCGTAGACACATATGTTTAATTACAGAAAATTTTCCTAACTTATCCAGTATTATTACCAAAATAGAAAACATGTAAAATTACCCTAAAAATGTATACATTTTTTTCTTTAAAAACATGCACAGGAATACCCACATTTTATAAATAAGTATTTTCTTATATCAGAACGAAAATTTTTAAATATCATGTTCCATAAAATTTATGTATTTGTGATGTAATTGCCTTTTTGCAAACATTTTGAGAGAGTGTGCTCTCGGTACTTTTTTACACTTCGAAACTGTTTCCTCTTTGCTACTGGAAACTATTTTATCTTTGCTGTTGATATATGCCAATGAATTCTCAATACTTTTTCTCTTGGTTTATCTTCAGCTTATGAGTTATTTAAATACTTAAAAATATATTTGTAGATCGTTTATGTTGACACTTATGATAGATTTCCTAGATGTGTTTTTGGAAAACGTATTTATTTTATTCACGTGAATGAAACTGATGTTTTCTAAATTTTATTATTCAGAGTATTACTCAATTATGACAGAATGCTGGATTTGTTCCCAGTATTCAACATTCATATGAACTTCAGTATTTCATATCTCTCACGTAACTTTAATTTTTCCTATCAATAACGAATGGAATAAATGCAGGTTATGCAGACATAAGGTAAAAATCTGGAAGTAAAAGAAATTCTTCAGATCTAGGCAATTCAGTAGAATGTGCAAATATTCATTCTATTTCAAGCTTATTTTTGGAATAACATAGCATAAAAATGTAAATTTACTGAAAAGAGATAAAAGTGGTTCGGGCGAAGGAAATACGCCAGCAGTCTCCTAAAACTTTAAGTGAGCACCTGATCTTTGCTCTTACAAAAGTTAAGTAGAATTGTAGATTCTATATAAGAGCCACGCAGGCTAGGTGTACAAATTTTCAAAATCATATGTATTGATATCTTCTATTTTCAATGTCTGAAGGGCATCTAATATACTCTCATTATTATAAAGAATTCAATTAAAGTGGTGTTCTTTAAATTCAAGGTCATGTAGAATTTCAAGGACTTGTTTGAGTATTTTGGCAAAGACAATTCATTTCTTTTAGATAATTTCTGGTACTATTTGCGATGAAAGGGAATTTAATGGGATTTTTGTGAAATTTGGATAGAGTATACAGGTTAGCAAATCTATTAAAATAGCTGTTAGGATGTATTTTAAGTTTTTTTGATGTAGGGCTCTGAACCTTTTTAAAAGAATATTACTGGTATATAACAGTTGGTAGATGTTGGTGCTATGGAGCTCATTATTAATTAGATTGTAGTAGAACTTTTTACATATGATACTAAAGTTATTACTTGCTTTTTCAACTTTCATGATGATAAATTATCTTTCAGCTGTTGAATTTGATCTAAGAGTTTGTGTTTGTTATGTACCTGTATAAAAGATGGGCTTTCATAAATTCTTCTTTTAAAGTCATGAACTGTTGCATCATTCCATTCTAGAAAAATAGAAGTAGGGAGGTTTGTTCAGTAACTTGCTAAAACTGTGAATGCATTTAGATCCCTATTAAACTGCTGAATACTGGAAGTCTTGCTCAGATAGAAAGTTGGCCAAAATTTAGTTCCATTTTTCATAATCTCTCGTAGGTCTGTATCTTGTACGATTTCAAGATCCCCAGTAATGATATGATGGTGAAAGGGATTCACAGAATTCTTGTATTCTGGAAGATTGCAAAAAAAAAAAATGTCGTTTTCCTGTATTTCATAGTGGTTGGTAAGATAGTTGCTCAGGTGTTTATTGTACTTGAAACTTTGGCAAGGTAGGAGATATTGTGATCTTTTGAATAAATGGTTGACATGAAGTTGATCGTAGTAAGGGTGCTTGAAATGTAAAGTACAATAGAGCTCTTTATTGAAAAATTGCTATTTTTTTTTTTTAGTTTAAATTTACAGAAGTCTAGTACCAGGTCTTTAAAGATTTTGTAACCTGTATAGTTTTCTTTAATGTAAAAATTAATGACCATAACTTTTTAACTCGAGAAATTCAATCTTTTTATCTTTTTAAAAATGTACATCAAAATGTCCAGTTCTAAATCTTAAAATACAAAAAGAAAATAAATATGAATATATAAAGTTACTTACAAAAGGTGACAAAAAAAAAAAAAAAAAACTTTAGTACTTCAGTTGACTTAAAGTGAATGCACCATTTATTAACTTCTTGTTTACACAAACTAAACATAATGGAGACAGTTTCAGATGATAAATTAACGCTTGTTGTTATTGAAAGGGATTGTTCGAACAGGAGCTTTGAAATTTGCACTAGCTTGCTGTTGAAGCTGATACGCCAGAGGATGAATCTTAAATCCATACAATCTAAAAGGAAAATCACATGATCAATATTCAAGTTACAAATTAAATAAGAAAACATTTCAAAATAAATTAAAATTATTACAAACAATAATGATACAAAATTTATACTTAAGGAAGCATGCCTAGTAAGTATAATTTATAATATACATTAATATATTTAAATCTTTCACTTCAGAGATATATTACTCTTCAATGACACATACTACAGAAGTGAAATCCGTTTAACTGCATACAAATATATTACACTATATAATCCAAGATTTTATATAAAATGCATTTTAAAACTGTTTAATACAGCACATTTTTATGAAATTCAACCTTCACATGCTGTGTATATCATCAACAAATATCCCACATATCAAATGCATCCACCCAATGTGTTGGGGTTAATGCACATTAGGCACTAGCTTCTTTGTTTTTCAATCAGTAATGTTCCCTTTACTGGTGTGCAGGAAAAATATAAAATAATAATTCACCACTTAAAACGTTTAAGGGATCACCCTGTTCTGGTAATGTTATGCTCAACTTACATGTATAATCAACTGAACATAAATCTAAAGATTTTAAAGATATCAGAGAAGACTTCTCTCCCCCCCCCAAAATTACATATACACAGGGTTCATAGCCACATTTTAGTTAAAAAAAAATAAGCACCTGTCTAATTACATTATACACAACTGCATAACCTTAAAAATTAGACTTGTAATTTAAAATATGAGAAATGCAGTATTTATTAAGAGAGAATAAGCATTACCTCAACCATGGAAAATAATTACTTTTTTTTTTTTTTAAATTTTAAATAACAGTTCAATTTACAGAACTAGTTTACAATGAGAGAAAAAACACTATGCAGAACTAAACTATATTACAAGATTTAATGATGAAATTTCAGTTCAAAATAGAGAAAATAAATAATAATAAGGCATATTTATTGTATTCGCTTGGAACCTAATAATAAATACAATTTATTTTTCCACTCATATTTAAAATAATTTAAATCTAAATTCTGAACATTTTCTAATTTTTCATTGTATATCAGTTTTCTCTTAACAGATATTGCAAGCAAAGTAATTTTAAGTAAAAAAGAGGAACATTTCTGAAATCAGAAGACAGAAATTTGCTTCATGCAGTCATCCTTTAACAGTAAAAGCTTAACTAACCTGCATACTTAGAAATTGGCGAATATTCGAACAGTCGAGCGTAACTTGAAAAAGAGGAGTGGAGGGGGTGACTGTAGCCACTCTTTAGATTTTTCCGCTAAATAAATGCTTTTAACATTTCGATATGTGCATCATATAAAAAATAAACCAATGGAACTGAAAAATATTCTGCTTAGCAAACACAGTAAAACTCTTTTAAGTGTTCATAAAGACAATCTCGGACAGAACATCAAATTAATTATCTCTGCAAAATATCGCAAACGTTATTGCGCAATACGTGTGCCCTAATTCTTCTCTACGTGATATTACGCAATCGGAATCAACAGCTGCGGGTATTGGGAGAATAAAGAACTAAATAACTGAGGGTTTTTTCATTCTAATTTTCAACAGACGGCGTTAAATTTCCGCAATAGAATCATTCTTCGCTTGGGGTTGGTAGACCACAGAACTTTTAGTCCTATTCAGCGAACCGTTGCTTGTAACAGTTTTTCAATATTCGAGATTTTGCGGAGAAAGGGGAGAACCTCCCAATCTTCGTACTGTATAATGTATTGGCCAAAAAAATGAAATTATTTTGACTATTCGATTACTTTCCCTTTATTTAAGCCATTCTGAATATTATTCCTTTGAAAGCTAATCTCTGTGAAAACACAACCATTTTTGGAAGTTTAATATACTTCAGAAGTTACTGCAACTATGCTATTATAAACATTCATACATATACTCATAATATAAGCATAATGATCATAATAAACATGAATATGAACTGACCATGCGGAACGAGAATGCAAATTATTAAGATCTTGATAGAAATTCAAACGTGTAGTATTTTGGGTGGGAGGAAAAGAATGCCGAATGTACCGAAATTTTCTACTGCTTTCGCAATTCTTTGACCAATAGAACGACGGGCACCTGTCTGTACTCTTTGTGCACACCAAAGGTTATGTTAATGCAGAGAAAGGGGGAAAAGCTATTTCCGGGAGTATGATTCACCATCTGACATTCCATATTAGGAAGAAAAGTTGTTTTAGTTTCGGCTTTGGTACGGGGGGAAAATAGCACGTTCATTAAAAAAAAAAAAAAAATTAAGGGCTTTAAAGAAAAAGTAAGCACCTATAAGGGCCTTTATATTTTATTTTCAAATACAGTCAAAAGTCGTTAATTCGGACACCCATAATCCGGACCTCAAAACTTTCTGCGCATGCGCCGCATCGACACACGTGCATAGGTGTTTACACATGCGCGTAAGACCTCTTACGTCTGCGCATATGCATGTGCACAAGCGCAGAATACATTTTCGCGTGCGCGTTTTATGTATAACGCGCAGTATAAGCTAAAATTATCTAATTATCTATTTCAGTTAATGTTGATGATTGCATTGTTCCTTAATTTTCGAATTGGATCCGGCTTATTATTTTTTGCAGACTGTTAGAGCAATACTATAAAAGTAAACTTGAACTTTCGATTATGTCAAATAGAATTTTCGATTCTGGAGCTCCCAAAGGATCGTACAAAACGAAAGTATGTTTCGATGTCCATCAAACAAAAAGTGGAATTGCTGCAAAAAATGGATAAAAACACGAAGAATGTGACAGAGAGGTTAGTGAAAACGAAAAAATTTCGATTTACAAGTTAGTCGGTATTCTCGGCACAGCAATAACGGGACTTGAACAGTGGAACTTTGTAACTGAACAAGAAAATATGTCTGTTTATAGAATTAAAGAGAAAGTATTATCACATAAAATGAAGCAACTTAACAACTTACATTGAAAGAAATGTTTAATAAAGTAAACAAATAAATATTAAGCTTTTTTTTTTTTTTTTGTAAATTTTGATACCCTTTAGATCATAATTGTTCTTTATTTCATAAATTACGGTTTCATATTTTTAATTTTAGAATTTCTGCATGCCATCTTACGAGATTTAAACTGATGATCTATAATCCGGAATCGCAGAAGTCCTGACGAGTCCAGATTAACGACTTTTGAATGTATAAGGACTTATAAGGACCACTATACATATATACTATTAGTGTTATCAAATCATCATCATAGCATCAACCAGAATTTAAAAATGTAAAAATGGTTTTAGAGTTATGTATTATGCTATTTGCATCATGCAATATTAGGTTAAATGTTTCTCCGTTTGCAGAAAGAGGTTAAGCCAGTGCTTTTAAACCTTTCTAAAGCTGCTGCTTCCCAACGGAGCGAAGAACTTTTCTATGCCTTCTATGTGAAAATCCTTTAATATAGGAAAGGGGGGTCCTGAATTATAAATGCCAAAAATTTTAAGCAATTTTTTTAGTAGACTTATTCATAAATTTGTTTGTTTAACTCCATGGTTTTGCCCTAAAAGGTAATTACATTCCTTTGGTTAAAACTGAAATGACTAATAATTAAAAAAAAAAAAAAAAAAAAAAAAAAAAAAAAAACACATAAACGCTCTTTCATGTTTAAAAAATTCTTTATCAGGGTTTGTACACATTTCTGCACACAGAAATTAAGTACTTTTAAGGACTATTGATGAAAAAAAATTAAGGACCTATGAGCGAATGGGAACTGAATTAATTCAATTGAAGATATTATCTATCTTGATTTTCACTTTTGTAATACCATCCTAAAAATAAAATAGATCTCTAAGTAGCATGCATTATTACTAAACCTGAATTAATTAGCATAATTGTTAATAAATTTGAGAATAAAATAAACTTTATGCAATTTATCAAGTAGCATTAAATATTTTACACTTATGATAGTTGGTCATATTTGAAGGAAGATAAGTGATATTTACCTTTTACTAACAGTTAGGGTTATGTTGATTTTTTTTATGTCTCATTTTGTCACATACTTGGTCAGTCTAGAGGTTTAGTAAATAAGCAGGTAGATTTTTATGTCAAACTGCATAGGTTAAAACAAGAAGTAAGATCATAATCAGCATGATTCATAACAAAAGACTAAATGTCAACGCTGCTGCTTGTCTAGAGAGAGACCTGCTAATTAGAACAAACATGAAAACTCTGATGTAGACAAGGTTGGCAAGTGTTGAAAGTTAGTCAGGCTCTGTTTGATGCAGAGTGTCGTAGCTTCATGTACAGTTCCAGGGAATGTAACCCAGTTAATATACCTTAAGGTTCCAATAAGCCATTAAAGCACCAGAGGTGATATGTTGTTTTGTATTATTTTAAGTCTCAGTAGATGCATTAGAATATGTTTTACTTAAATTTTTACATTTTTATATTTTATCTTGTGACCACAGTGAGTATTAATGAAAGGCAATAACTCGCTTTAATATGTACAGTTAATTTTTAAGGATAAGCAGTTAGTTATAAATAATTAAATTAGGTAGTTTGATAACCTGTCATTATGGATTTACATGACCACTATTAAAATTTATTTTTTAACAATATTTGTTAAAAAAGCTCTATTAAAATCAAAATCTAATAAAATTTCACAGTTTAAAATGCATGTAATTTATGACACAGATTTTTAAACGATATTAAGATAATTTACACATTAAAAGTTACAAAAGTTATGTTTTGTAATATTTATATCAAATTCCTTTTTTTAAAGCATCTTTTCTAACAATTGGAGATTTGTCTCAATATGCAAATTAATGGTCTGGCTAGTTTCTGCGTGCTTTATCTCCTAACTTGTCAACCTCTCCATAATGTACCTATGAGGGTTTAATTGATCTGGTAAAAGTTAAATAGTCCAAAACCCCCGACAGACGTGAAGCATATTATCGCTATGTCTGAAATTAACTACAATATCAGACAAAGGTTTAAATAAGCCTCTTATTTAAAAAGAACTTAGAACAAACATAAAGGCATGTTTTGATGCTAAC